CTAAGATTTATAACAATAATTTCCAGTTTGTGGGATTAAATCACATGTATATAAAGATCATGTGTACGAAGTTCATATGCAAAAACTGTGTAGGCATACTGATCCTTTTAAAAAGCTCTGTTCTTGGGTTTGTTCAGACTAAGATTTTTGTTCCTCCTTGAGCTCAAACAGTTACCAGTACTAGTCTGTGCCCTGATGGAAACCACAAGTGTTTGTGTCCTGCAGTGCTCAGATTAACATTTGCTGGGTATTCATTGACATGAATTAATTGGCAATTAGCTAACTCAGTTAGGAATAATATTTCTCTCTAGACATTGCTTTAATTGCTCATCCAGCCAAAATAGATAGTACCGACCTGACCAGGGCTTTCTGCTTAAACATTTGAGAGGATGAGTTTTTTGACAGTGCGCTCTGTTGTGAAATGAGCAGCAAGCAACAAGAGCCATGCAGATGATCTGAAATCAGAGCCTTGTTTCCCCGTACAGAAGTACAGGCTGGCCATAGCGTTGGTTTTATTTCAGAAGAAAATGAAAAGCCTTCTTTTTCCAATGCAAAAATTACATATATTAAAACTGGCAAATACAGTTCTTGAAGTAGTTACTGGCTTTATGATTAAAAATGAATTACTTGTGTTTAACATTTCTGAAAGACTGTGGGAATGTTATTTGTTAACACTGTGTATACCATGAATGTTACATTTAAATAACAGTGTTATTTTATGATTTATTAGTCTCTCTCTCAAAATGATTGTTTGATTCAGACTGGTGTCTTTGGTAAGCTCCATTTTTTGTTAGGTTTGAAAAACAGATCTCTCCTGCTTTCAGATCACTGTTTTCTGTAATGAAGAACCATTTTTAGGTCTCATAATGGGGTTCATTAGCAAGGCGTCTCTGTCTCCAGTTGTGTTCCCTTGTGCTGCTGTTCACACTGTTGCAGAGTGCCTGTGAAATAGCATCAGCTGCAACTTCTTTCTGTTTTGTTTAGTATGTGTTAGAGCAAATTCCCACCACAACCTAAGGCAGAAGTACATCAGGCTTTTCTGAAATCCTGTCCTTGGCTAAGAAGACATAGTGCTGATTGCCACAGGGATGGCTGTGTGCTCATCTGTGGAAGGGAAGCTTGTGTTTTCATCCCTGCAACACATACTTCTTGGGTAAAATAAGTGATGCCGTATTCGCTGCTTCAGAGTGGGCTGTCCACCTGTATAGCAGGCCTAAATATTTCCCTTTCTTATCACGTAAGCTTCTGTCCTTTTCAGGAAAGATCTGTGTGTCTTTATGCATCCACACAGTGGGATTTCCTAGCAAAAAACAGCGTGAGCATGGCTGTCAGCAGGTCAGCACTGTGCTCAGATGTGGCAGGCCTGCAAGCTTCCCTGTGCTCCTCTGTGCTCTTCCTTGTGTGCCATCTTTCCTTTGTGTCGTCTGGAGTTCCTGTTGCTCAGTGGTTTTCATCTTGTGGCTTTTAATTATAAATCAAAAGACAATGTTAGCTTACACATCTCCTTGCTTTTCAGTGTGTACATTTTTTTCTTTTTTACTCCCCAGCCTGAAATTATGAGGCAGTTTCTTGTGCAATTAAGTGGCTAAGGTCTGAAGCAGCTCAATGTTCACAGCTCCTAAGACAATGCAGCCTACTCGCTGCCTTGGCAGACTTGCCTTAAGCCATGCCAAAGCAAAATATCATCCTAGCAGCCTTGGTTGTTCTCTTTGGGGACCACACAGGTTCTTCTGCTGAGTGGAATGTGTAGATAAGCTGTATGAGTACGCACCTCACCTGTTGACACATCTGTATGGGAAGTTTGCTGTAGACTTGAGGTGCTCATTAGCAGATGTGTATGCAGCCAAAGGAAAACTGAAAAAATCACCAGCCCTGCAAACAGCAGCTCAAACACTTGTCTCTGAGCTTGCACTGCTTTTTTTTCCATTTCAATAACAGCTCAGCAATTTACTTATGTAGTTGCTTCTTACACTCTTCAAAGATATGTCATTACACTGATACATAATATGTCCTCAACGTTTGATGTTATATATGCCAGTAAAAGGGCATCCTAAGCATCAGAAGCCCACAGGAGTTTCATCTGTGAGCAGTAGCTCAGTAGACTGGAACTGCCAGGACCAGAACTGAAGTCCAGGGCACAAGTTCTTCCTTGCCCAAGCTCACTTAAGGTTTTCTCTTAGTAGCAGGAGGAACAGAGCCTATGTAGTAGGTGGTCTACTGAAAGGTTTTTATTTGGCTTCATTGGCATGCATATGTCAAAAGGAAGAGGTAAGCAGGGAGGCACAAGCAGAGTGACAGATTTTATTTTTGTCGTGAAATTACATTCACTGAATTTTGGATGCTGAAAAGTGCTGTCTTGGACTGTTTGGAGGGTTGTCTTAGAATTCCTTACCTACAAAGCAGGCAGCAGTGATTGTGTAATTTTTTTTTCTCAATTTTTAACAGAAATAAGGAAAAAAAGGAAAAATACATTAGATCGTGCATTCTCTCATTCTGTTCTTTGGCATCCTGCTGTAAATCAGTAATGACCTCTCAAGGCTGATGAAATTAAATCAATGTAAAATCACTGGGACAGTATCGGTATGATTTTATAAGGTGTCTCAAGTCTTCTAATTGTTGACGAACTGTGTTATCAGAGTAAACAGAATGGTTTGATCTTATTTTCTGAGTTTCTGTGGTAGGTTAGTAGCAAGAAAGGCAGAAGAGGCTGTGAAGATTGCCTGTGTGGTTTGATGGTATCTCAGAGGTTTGTGATAGCTGTGTCTCAATGACAAAATGCTTCAGTGAGGCGAGGGTAAAAAGGGCTACTGATAGCTGAGTGCAGTGAGACAGGAGTCTTGATTTGGGAAGAGGAACTTTTAGAATCAAATCTTGAAGTGTGATATTCTAAAAGCCTGTACACTTTCTTAAGGTTGGGGGACCAGTTACAGGAAGCAGCTGTTTGTCACCTTTAGTGACCTCTTAAAATAATGACTGTAGAACACTCTACTGCAGCACTACGTCACGTATCCTAGAGTCTAGATGTGAAGGGCTGAGCTACAAGTTCTGCAAAGAATTAGAAACATAAGGGCAGGGAATTTGGAGTTATGCAAAAAGTGTGGTTTGTGTTGGAAGCAGAACAAAGGAATGGGCATGAACTGAAGCGTTGCAAGCTCACAATAGAGGGGTGCCAACAGTGACTGCCCAAACAGGGCAAAGCCAAAGCAAAGCTGCAGAAGGGGAGGCTGCAACTGCTCTGAGCAGTGAGCACAGAACCTGTGATGCTAAGGATAATGTCATACATATATTGAATAGACAAAATTCAACTGTAACAGTGAAGATTGGCTGGACATCACAGCATCTTTCCCCAGCTCATCTGTTGCTTCAGGCAGAGGAAAGGCTGTTGCCATACACAGCTTTGAATGGGTATGTCAGTGTGCTTTGTCCTTAATACTTGTTCACGTAATAGCAGAAGGTGAGGATGTCAGCATTTAACCAGCTGAGAGCAGAAAATTACATGAGTGGAAATATCCAGAAAACTTGAGCACAACATAAAAAAGAGAGGGAGTGAATCGGAAAGTTATTTCTTGGCATAACAACCTGTGATTAATGGTTCAGCATCAGTGATTAACTGAAGCAAAAAGATGAACAAGTGTCTGTAGGAGATGGCTGGAGCCCTGATGAAACTCGAAATCTTTGGGGACAGTTTGAAGTAAGGCAGTGGTGTACGTATTTAATCCCTCAATGTGTGGAGTCCTATGGTTGTTGTTTCTCTGGGCTGCGGATCTGTTGTGTGCACTTCACAGATAAAGCAATGTCTTTAGCTTTGGCATTTGGGACAGAGAGAGAGGTCAGGATCTTAATACCACCCAGCCTAGGAGCTGCAAGCCAAGCTGAACTTTTTCCTTCTGTGCAACATCATTGCTCATAAACGCTCTGTGAAGCCCAGCGGATCTTACTGACACCAGCGAGGATGTTCTCCCTTGAGTTTTAACTGAATTAAACTAAATGACAATTTGGCACATTGTGGAGTGGGACTGAATCCAGCCTATTAGGTGTGGTGCTATATGACCATGTTTGACAAGAGTAAGAGCTGAAGCAAAACATCTCACTTGAATAGGCCTACAAAATAATGGTTTTCAGGGTAGAAACTTTTTGATGGCAGTGATTTGGGAGCTTGGGAGACCATGATTAACTTGCTCATGGGGGTCTCTTGATGTACTTTTATGTGAAACAGCAGATTCAGATCAAAGTTCTGCAGACAGTAATATTTTGTTACTTACCTCTTTCTTTCCATTCTTGGAGTTTTACTCCATAGTTTTTGATAACTGAGACATTCTGATCTGATTCCATGATGGGAATACTCAGAACTTTTTCCAAATATAGCCATTCATCTACATCACTAAGTTGTTTGAGGTTATAGATATGAACAAGGATATAGTAAATATTAATAAGTAAGAAGAACTTCGTGTTGATCACTGTGTACATTTGTTCCTCCATTCCTCTGTGGTATTGAGCACAGCATGAACTTTATGCAACAGAGTAAGTCAAAACAGCAGGAGGAAGCTCAAGTTAAGTGCTTTTTTATTGTAACTCTGGAAGGTTTGGGAAGGGCTAGAACTAATGTAGTGGCAGTGTGCACACTGCACACACTTGACCATCTTGTTCTGTCGCTTTCTGAGCTTTCAGTGTTGCCAGATGTTGGCAAAGCCCCAAATCTGGTGCAGTTAAATTGGCAGAATTTTACTTTGTACTGGTAAAACACTCTTTGAATGGTTGAGAGTCAAAAATCAGCTTTGGTGGTTGAAACTGCAGTAGAATTGAGGATGCCAAGTGGTCATAGTGTGGGCTTTAGGGTCTTCATTATTCACAAGACTTCATCTGGCAGGGGGAGGGTCTAATGGAAATTTGTTTGAATATAAGTTGCCAACTACTGAGTAATGTATTATTAGGAAAAATCTCAACTGTGCATAGCTCTAACCAGTTCTTTTTTTTTCTGTTTTGCTCTGTTTCTCCTACAGGGCTTGTGAAGTTGGGGGTTCACTGTGTCACATGTCAGAAGGTTGCGATAAAAATTGTCAACAGAGAGAAGCTCAGCGAGTCGGTGCTAATGAAGGTAATTTTCTAATAGGAGATTTAAAAAAAAAAAAAAAGTTCTTGGCTCCGTGTCTTTTGTTCCATGCAAAATTAATATCTTTAATTATGTTTAACAAACATCCCTGTCAGTACTAGGATTATGTGGAGCATAATAAAAATAATTCAGATATGGGGGAGGCTGGGGCAGCTGGGAGTATATCTGTGCTTGGAGAACAAAATTAGTGGTCAGCTGCAGAGCTGTTGCTTCTCTGCTGGGGTAGCTGTGTGTTGGGCATCATAATTTTCACTGCAGGAGCAGTGCACAGTAGTTGTGGTACGTTGTGGACTGAGGCCTTTACATGTTAGTAGGAAGAGATTTATGTGAGGTTGGCAAATCTGTTGACTGCACCTCCTGCTCACTCCTGCTGCATGTGTTCGTTATCTGATGCACCAAGATCCATGAGTGCTTTAAGCTGTTGTAATTCTGTTAACAATTCTCAGAGCTGTGTTACTGGAAACAGTCAAGGAGTCCCAATGGTCCCAATAACAGTAGTGTTCTGAACAGCTTCATTCACTTTTACCTAATCTTGTGATATGCATCTCCTTATACGAGTGTCACTTGACAGATCTTGGAAGTCTAAAAATTAAAAAACAAAACAAAAAAAAAAAACAAAAAACAAAACAAGAGCTTATTCATGTGATTTGGTGACTAGCAAGGCTAAATTCAGCTTGGGTGGGGAAGCACAACTTCTGCAATCAATAGAATTCCATCAAGTTGTCACCTGCAAAATGTGCTAATGGATCTGCACACAAAGTCAAGGTAACTTCCCTGTTAGCACACCCAGCAAAGATCTTTCCCTCCTGTTGTTATTTGTCACAAGTAAGTATGGCAACCATACTAGGAACAGAAAGAAAACGGAGATTAAAGGAATACGCAATCAATGAATGTTAGTGTAAAGTTTATACTCAACTGTAATGTGCTCAGACTTACCCTTCTGGAATTCCATTGAAGTATTCTGTCTCCTGCAGTACTGTAGATTAAAGCAGTCTTCTGGTATAGACCAGAAATTAGAAAGTGAAATAGGTAAGAAAATTGCATCTAAAGATGCAAGAGAGAAATTCTCTTAGATGATTGGAACACAGTGAAAATGAGCAAAGTGTGCAAATGGTAAAATCTGAATGAGACTCTTAAAAACTTTGAATATTTTCCAGAGTAACACAGTAAGAATACTTTTAAAAAAACATGAGCATGATGTTTGCTGAGAGACTCTCTGGTACCGGTATAAAATATTTTATTTACCTCATTGATTTTCAGAGTAGGAAGCAAATCACATAGCATAGCAAAGTGATCTCTCTGCTTTTGTTTTGTTGTATTACCTCAGTTGTAGTAGAAAATCTGAGTAATGAAGTAATGTGTTAGGCCCTTGTTTACACAGCCGCATGCTGAAGAGTGCCATGTTTTCTGTAAAATTGTACAACATCCTTCTCAGGAGGAATCCAGGCATTGTATCATGATTCTCATTTCAGACCATTCATGGCCAGATTTTCTCTTTCAAGGATTCTGTTCTCCGTACTCAGGAGGCTGGAACAACAGATGGGATTGAAGTGGTTAGCCCAGTTCTTGCATAAACACGGTAACCAGATGTCTTTTCAGGAATACCCTGTATCTGATGGTCAGAGACGGGGTTTAGGACTTCTAAGTGAATTTGGAATTGACTGTACTCTTAGCCAGTGTAATCCAGCCTGGCTGATGGGGGAAAAATGCTTTCAACTTTCGGCAATCCCAGTGTGAGCATTGCCAAGCAGCCAGCTGACAGCCTGCTGCATGAAGTCAGCAGCCACAGGGAGACAGTCAGCAACGAAGCCAAGTCATGGTGGTGTGGTGGCATTCCTACTTCACAAATCTTCCCACTAGTTTATTGGTTTCAGTGACTGTCTTTGCCAGCGGGCTGTTTAGAACAGGGCCTGGAGCAGAATCAACACCACAGCAGCAATTCCAAGCCAGGCCCAGATTGATGGGTTTTGCTTTAATCTGTCCTTGGACAGAAAAACTGGATCTGACAAATATGCACACCTGCCACATGAAGCTGTAAAACTGCAGTGCTGTGGCCATTTATCCTAGAGCATAAGGAAGAAGTCTGCTCACAGTCCTTTCAACATCAAAAATGACAGGCATGAGCACATGCAGCAGGCTGCTTTCTCCTGCCATCATTATTTTGACTTACTTCATACAGCCTTCATTTCTCCAGTGATTTTGCAGTGAGCATTTGTTTTATTCTGTACAGTCAGGGAACTGTCCCTTCTTTCTGCAGCTGCTCTTCATCTGAGCTGTGCAAAATTGAGAGGCATTTGGTAAAGTGCTTTCTAATCATAACGTAGTAGTATCAATATTTCTGGAGAGAAGAATTTGGAGTTGAAGCAGCTGGTCTCAATTAACGGAACTGCTGCTATGGAGATGATACATGGGCAGGCAGGCTGCAGCACAGGCTGCAGTAAATGGCTCATCCGTGTGCTTGCAGCCTTCTCAGAGGACAAGGCTGCTTGCTGCACATGCAAACTGTCTGCTTCAGTGTGTCCTGGCTCGTTCATTGAGGCTGAGGAGTGTTCCCTTCCCAGCTCCAGCTGGGGTCTGCTTAAAAGTACTGTTTTGGGGGCAGAACTACAGATTTTACAGATGAAAACAGTAGTCCTGGTTCTGTTCTCACTGCTGCTTTCACACAACTGTAAATACTTGGGCTGGGTTTCTTCAGCTGTGCTTTGGGTAAGCCTGCTGGTCTGGAGACCTGCTTCCCAAGGGAGCTTTAGCATGCTCTGACACAAATTGGTAGAAAGCCCTCAGAAATGAGTGGATTATAGGGAGTGTGTTGAGATTACGAAGGGCTCATTAATTTCACTGAACTACTGCTACTGCTTTGGGAGAGAAGGAAGTTGGACCCAGAGTTCATGAGCTAACTGTGCTCATGGAGCACACAGGCTCACTGCTTTTGGTTGCATTTTAAGTACCAGCATGAGCGTTTGGAGTTCCTAACATCTGAATGTGAGAGTTCAAATCAGTCTTTCCTCTGATCTCTGATGTGGCCAAAGCCTGCTTGGAAATGTGCAGAAGTCTGAGAAGGAGGAGTGAAAGGAGTCTTTCCTCTTTACCACCTCACCAGTCCTTTGCTACTCCCTCCATCTAAAGAATAAGCAGAAAGAAATAGATTACCTTTTGGTGATCTGTCAGACAAAATAATCTTTGGAAAGGCAGCGATAGTAGAAGCAATGGGAGCATAAAGGGTGAAGTGCAAGAAGGGGACAGCTGGCCTTGGACTAATTATTTGAACATGCAGACATCCTGAGAAAGACACAGATGTCCCAGGCTTGATGACTGAAGCCCAGGGCTCCATATGTGTGCTTTGTGCATATGAGCCTTTTGTTTACACTGACTGAATCCTTCAGTGCCAGCCTTGAAACCAGGCAGGTATTTCAAGGCTGGGGAATGGGAAGAAACACAGTCCTTTCTGCACTTGTCTTGTGGAGCTGGCTTGGAAGAAGCTGTGTTCTGGGGAGGTTGGTTGTTTTAGAGCCTTGTGGTGCTAATGAGCTCTACTTCCAAAACTGTGTTCTCAGTCAGGGAGGATCATGCAACCATTAGCATCAGAAATCACTAATTGCCTGAAGCAGTTGAATGGAGGGATGAGTGGCAGGTTCATTTGTCAACTTCTGAGAGCAGACAAGATAACTAGTAAAGCACATAAGTAAATAGGTACTGCTTTGCACCATATTGGACTTTATTTCCTTCCTTCTCCATTTTCTATCAGTTATTTTTGCCTCCTTTTTAACCCCTTTTATTTCTCTTTTCTTACCATTCTGGGAGTTAGTTCTTTTTACTTTGTCTTTCCTCCTTTTGCTATGGGAAGTCATGCATAACTCACTGTTTTGTTACAAAAACTGCTGAAAGTGTAGCATGTCTGGTCAAGGTGCCATTCTTCAAGGAAAATGTTTTATAAATAGGAAACAGTTCAGAAAAGATCTGAGGGAGTAAGTAAACAATCAGAGCTTATGCTTAATGAGAGACTCAGAGGACTCAGTCTAACTAGTTTATCAATTAGAAGGTGAAGAGAGAACTTAGTCATGGTTTGTAAATACTGATAAGGAGAATAGGCATTTGATAATTGAAGATTACTTCTGTCTTGGGGGCAGAAAGCTTATTGGAAACTAATAGTTGGAAGCTGCAGGTAGACAGATTGAAAGTGGAAATGTTCAGACTATTTGAGCAGTAGAGGAAGTTATTAATTGGAACAAGCAATCAAGAATTCTGATGAGTTTTTTCCCTGAAAGAGAGAAAAGTAAGCTTTGCATTAAACTGCTGCATGGTTTCTAAATGCTAGATCTTAGTTCAGCATTGGCTGCTGGTCTTGCAGCAGAAAGTACTTGAAAGTGGTTTCCTGATCCATGCTATGCATTAGAGTGGACTAGATTAATAAAACAACCTCTCTGGCCTCAAAATCCATAAATCTATGAGTTTCTAATCACATACTTGAGATCTATAGAAAGCCACTTATCTCCATCTGGAGTGAAAAGAGAGAGGTTTGTACAACCTATCTGTAGAAGCAGAAATCTAGGCTTCCCCAAAGTAAGTCAAAGAAGGGAATTCATGAAAGCAGTATCTTCTCTTTGAAATACCTCATTTTCAGACTTCTAGGATAAATTTTAAGACCATGATATTGGCTGACCTAGTTGTTTTCAGCCTGGCCTACAGAAATGATTACCAAAAGATACCAGTAACATCAAGGAGAAGCTAAATCTGAGACAGAGTAGAAATGGACTGAATAGGGCAACTTTGTTTAAATTCCGCTTTGATCACAGTGAAAATAGTTTTTGTGAAGTTACTGAAGTCATATATAACCAACTCAGATATACGTATGTATATATCAAATATATTATTTATATATATTTATATTTTAATTTCTTCTGTAATCCCTTTCCTTTCTTTAAGCTGCAGTATTTCAGTGTCTTACTGTTGATTGCAGTGGAAATTGTGTTAAGCTGCTACGGAAT